CGAGTGCGCGTGATCTGAGCGGGCGCAGGCCACGCTAGCGTTATACAGCAGGCATTATTCGCAAGCGCCAGCATAAATGTGATGTGTATACATTGTATCAAGCGAACTAGACAATGTATCTAGACAATACTCCTGTCTGCAGTGTACTGTGGAAGAGTATGTAAAATGAACGCGAGCGATGAGTTTCGAAGGCAAACAATTGTTAAAATTACTATCCAAAAAATGGGATACCAGATCTTTGGGGGGATACCAGATTTCAATACCTGGTATCCCGAATGGATCCCATAATAAAAATCTAATTTCGACCCCTGATCAATGTATACGTGAAAACTCTCATATTAAAATCAAAACATGTCTTTCAAACAAATGTTGTTATATTCCAACAAATTTATAAGAGATTGAACTTGCTCCTCTCTGGACACCCTGATAACCTTGTGTAGCACAATACCGTACAAGGCACACTGTCACACATGTATGCATATATATGTAACACTTGGGGTCCATGCAGAGTATTCTCTCACGTGACTACACTCCTTTTGCTAGGCTTCCTCTAGCAGTAATTTAGTCTTAGCCACCGTGGCTAAATGAACCATAAAAACTTGGCCACAAAAGCAATTCATTAGCCACACTTTGTTTGACAAACTCGGACAATAACACACAATATGGATTGAACAGTTTATTGAGACATTAAACAGGGATCAAATACGAAAACATGCTGAACAGATAATATTGACTGAGTCCTGCTGAGTGCTGACCCCCAAAAATTAGGCCAGAGGCCTGAAAAACATTCTTGAGCGTTTGGCCAATAAAACGGCCTCAAAGTAATTATTTATTTCCTTTCGCCAGCGTGTGCTTTATCCTTTTAGCCACATTTTTTAAGCCACAGTGCACTTTTTTTCGCCAAGAGGACCGTGTCGATTGTCTAGAGGAAGCTTAGTTTTGTGCGCACTCGTGTATTCACCCTACTACGTCACGCGTGTCTCCTGTGATCGTAATCGTACAGAACCAACATTGCGACAATATCAGGAGTCTATCAATATATGACTCTTGATAGACTCCTGACAATATGGTAATGGTTGCAATGAGAAATGAAAGCATCCAATCTATGTAAAACCTCATGTTAACCCAAACAAATCCACAATAAATAAGGCAAGGCATCATAACTAAGTTTGGTGTAGGGGCAGGGGGCAACTGTCCAAGTATACTAAGTAAGATCAAAATTCCTTTATTTTCTGAGCCACAGTTGAAGAGATCCATTTCTGCTTCAACAGTTAATAACTTCTTTCAGACACTACTTTGATAAGTTTATTCCCTAATGTTAATAGTTATGTAAGTTCCCTAAGTTTACAATTGTAAAGTTCAAAAATACTAAGACTAAATAAAGAAATTAGCAGTAGGCAATAGACAGAATATTTCATGGGGTTCTTTTGACATTACATTTGTTTTTGTACCACATAATTCATGTTAAATTGTTTTTATTTTAGACATCTGAATTTCCCTGTCAGCTTACAGATAAAGCTAGCCTGATATCAACATGTCAACTGCATCTGTATATGGAAAAGGAGCATGGATCATTTACACTTTAATGTCACTTGTAATCTTTGTCCTTATTATAATTGGTAAGTTGTAAAAAATAATGGAAGTGAATGTGTTGCCCCAAAACGTTAAAGGAATAATAGGTCCATTGATTATGCAATGTTGACGAATGCTAGAGTAACTGGCACCTTGTGTAGTTAATAAGTACATTACCTTGTAGCCAAACGCGTATTAGTTTGTCCAATATCACTGCTGGTTACTAAGAAATGTCTAATTGAAATCTGCGGTCCAAAAATCAGTTGTTTACAGTTTCAAATCGCTGCTGGCGAAGCGGGTGTGATACAGATTTATAGTGCACCGGACATTTTCGCACGCATGCTCGGCCGTACGCAATGCTATCATCAGTGATTTCGTAAACATGGACGATCGTGATAAGGAACTTTGTCAGGGCTGTCCACGTGCGTCCGTGATTAGTACGTGTGTTTTACTCTATTTCCATGTTTAGTCCGTGACCGTGGTTACACCGCTGACACCTCCGTTTCATCTGGCATCCAAAACATACGGGCCGCACAAATGTTTACGTCATCGCTTGACTCTTGGATGACATTTACGGCACGTAAATGATACGTTGATACATATCGACAACAGATTTCAAGTCTTGTTTGTAATGTAACCAGCAGTGATATTGGACAAACTAATACGCATTTGGTTAGAAGGTAATGTACTTATTAACTACATAAGGTGTCAGTTACTCTACCATTCGTCAACATTGCATAATCAATGGACCTATTATTCCTTTAAAGATGAGCCAGATAGTTCAATCTACTATACTGTGCATTCGCAGTACAGGGCATTGCAACTGTTGGTATCTTTGCTCAAGATAATTACCATGAATGCTCAATTGGCATCATTGATCATGAATGTGCACAATATGTCATGTACACTGAGACTTTATTAATAAATGGGCCATGGTTAACATCTAGGACTCGATTTGAAAAATGTTTGTTTAGCAGCTAATGGTTTACACATTTACTCAGGCCTTTGCTACTTGCTAACGGGACAAGGTGAGCGGTTACAGTTTGGCTGGGTGATAGAGTCGACATCACCCTACATGTGGGCATATTCTGGAATCGGTCTCGCTATCTCACTGTCAGTCGTTGGAGCCGCTTGGGGCATCTACACAACAGGTATAACTTGTTGTCTGTATAATATTTATTAATGCAGTTCATGATTAAATCGGTGTCAGCAGTGCTCGGTGAAGTGTGGTGGAAACCCCTAACAGCTTGGCAGACGAATCAGGGCATGCAATTCAGTTTAGTCGTAGGCATGGTAAGTATTATGATATTAGTCCACATTATTGTGAGATTAGTATTGATTTTTTTGAGATATGTTTATAATAACAAGTGAATGAAAAGTATATAATATACATATATATATACATAAATAGGTAGATAGATAGATAGATAGATAGATATACAGGGGTCTCATTAGAAACCAGTGCATGCCAATTTCAGCCAAGTACTTTTTCTTATACACCCTCCATTTCAGTGGTTCTTAATCTTTTTTGAGTCATGGACCCCTTTGAGAATCTGGTGAAAGCTAAGGACCCCTCTCCAGAAAAATAAACATAAGCACATAAACACAAAATTTTGCATACAATGGGGTTCACGGACCGCCTGAAGCCCATCCACGGACTCCTTTCCCGAAAGGGGACCATGGACCACAGGTTAAGAACCCCTGGTCTATTTGATAGCACAACCAGGCTGGGTCACTAATGAGCCAGCAGCTACTTACCATTAGGCCCTTAGGGCCTCAGTTGTTTGGGTTCTTTCTGCCTTATTGTATCTCTCCTAATACTTTTATCATAGGCTGAGTCCTTCAACGGCAATAATGTTTAGTAAAATGCCTGTATATATAACTGATATTCACTCCTGATAAAATGTATGTGGGAAGAGCACCTTGGAGCAGGTAGCTCAACCTTCATTAAATGTTGAAGAACAAAGCATTGCAAAATTGTATAATTTAGCCTGGAATATTGCATTTTATGGTTGCACATTTTTTATTCAAAATCGTCTGTCAGCATATACGTGCAATACTACTGAAATAAATAATGGCTCTCCACATCGAAGCCCTTATTTTTGAAACTCGGAAACACCCTGTATAGGTAATATGTGCGTGTGTAAGTATATCCTGATCTAATAACATCCAGGTGTGAGCATTCTTGGCGGTGGAGTGAGGGCTCCAAGGATTAAAACAAAGAACTTGATTAGCATTATCTTCTGCGAAGCAGTCGCCATCTATGGTGAGTATATTTACATGGATACTAATCTTTAAAATGCGTCGCTGCAACTCTTGCTTGCAAAAAGTCGTTAAAAATGTAAGTGTGCTTGATTGGAAATTGTTTAGAAATATCAGATTATTTCATAGTGGCTATCCTTAACTGAATAATACCCATTGCACTTGTTTTAATGCAGGCATCATTATGGCAATCGTCATTGGTAACATGGTTGAGCCGTATGACTTGAATTTGGTAGGCGATGACATCAAAATGCAAATTACTGCCCAGAACTACATGGGAGGGTAAGTTTTGCTGTCTTTTCCACTACTTGTTTTATCTCTCTCTCTCTCTCCATTCCTTCTCCCTCTCTGTCTCAATCTATCTAGCTTTCCCTCTCTCTCTCTCTGTCTCCCTTTCTCCTCTCTCTCCTCCCTTCCTCCCCCCTCTCTTTCTCTCTCTCTGTCTCCCTCCCTCCTCTCTCTCTCTCTTATCACATGTGAAACTGATTACTAGAATATCGCTAGGAAGAACGACTATGTTAGCAGTAGCAAACATTTACCTAGCACACTTTGTGTTCTCATCCCCCCCCCCCCCCCCGGTCGTTCTCAATCGTGTTAACCAACTGGAGATTTATCGTATCGATTGAGTTGCCAATGCAGTACCATGTATAAAAAGCATGGTGTATTATTTGTTAGCCCAACATGATTTAAAACTCTCCATTCTCAGTCATGCTCTAAAAGTCAGCGCAAGCCTAACAGCAGGTGACGTATGTTGGGTGAAAGCCGCTGTGTTGCTGCCGTTTCTGCCAATTCCGACCTCGGCATTGCATCGCCCGTTGAGTCTAGCATGCAGGCGACGTCGTTTGGGTGTTTCACGTTTCGCGTGCGTCGTGTTTCAGGCACTGTATGTTTGCTGCCGGTCTCACCGTCGGACTCTGCAACCTGTTCTGCGGCCTCTGTGTCGGCGTCGTCGGTTCCGGAGCGGCGCTGGCCGATGCGCAGAACTCTTCGCTCTTCGTCAAGATCCTCATCATAGAGATATTCGGCAGTGCCATCGGTCTGTTCGGCGTCATAGTGTCAATACTGCAGATATCGCATGTGAAGATGGGCAACAAAGTTGGGTAAACGCACACTGGTTGACGAATATACGCCGAATGAATGGCTGCGTGCTCTGTTGGTTGAGAACGGAATCGTAAAGAGTTGTGGTAAGCCACAGGCTTATGTTTGATATGGTATGATATGGTATGATTCGGTATTATTTTGGAGCTGGCGAAAATTGCGCCGTTATGTGTTGCAGTGGTAGGCAGCTTACGAGAAGGAAGGAATAACAAATGCTCGAATAACAAACCACCTAACATTATGTACCATATTAACCAGATGTGTCAATGAATTGTGGAATTAATGTTAATGTTGTTTTGTTTTTATTTAACATGCTATATTAAAAGCAATTCATTTTCAACTCTGGTTTAGTAATTGTTGATAAATGCTAGTGTGCATGTGCTCCTGATCATTTCCATTCCAAATACATGTGCATAGTTTAGCAATTCATGAATGAATTCGGTGATAACCAAATCTGATTCCTATCTCTGTAGTCCGATTATATTTGTGATCGATGTCAGTAAGGCACCAAACTACCTTGTGAAGGCCTTGCGTTGTGAATAAACATTGCATGCTTTGTAAAAGTCAAAATTAGGAATACGTTATGATAAATGTCAACTAAGAAGCTTAGATGGATCATAAGCTTTAATCATGTCACTGTCTGTATGAAATTATATGATGTACAATGAATAAATCTTGGTAATAATATCAGGAGTGAATAATAGATATCTATTATTATTCACTCCTGATCATATGGAATAAGATGCATTCTCAATATAAGATGTTAAAGGCATACTAGGCCCATTGATTATGCAATGTTGACAATTGCCAGAGTAACTGCCACCTTCTGTAGTTAATAAGTACATTACCTTATAGCCAAACGCCTATTCGTTTGTCCAATATCACTGCTGGTTACATTACAAGCAACACTTGAAATCGCTTGTTGATATTCATTTACATGCCGTAAATGTCATCCAGGAGTCGAGCGATAAGTCGCCGATGACGTAAACATTTGTGCGGCCCGTATGTTTTGCACGCCACATGAAATGGAGGTGTCAGCTGTGTAACCACGGCCACAGACTAAACATGGAAATCGAGTAAAACAGACGTACTAATCACGGACGCACATCGACAGCCCTGACAAAAAGTTCGTTATCACGAGCGTGCGTGTTTACCAAATCACTGATGATAGCATTGCGTACGTCCGATCATGAGTGCGAAAATGTCCGGTCCACTATAAATCTATATCACACCCGCTTCGCTGGCAGCGATTTCAAGTGCAACTGTCAAAGTTCTGTAAACATTTCTTGAACTGCAGATTTCAATTACACATTTCTTAGTAACCAGCAGTGATATTGGACAAACTAATACGCGCTTCGCTATAAGGTAATGTACTTATTAACTACACAAGGTGCCAGTTACTGTAGCATTCGTCAACATTGCATAATCAATGGGCCTAGTATGCCTTTAAGTGCTGCTAGTAGAATCGTTAATGATGCAAGGCTCGAGGTTCAAAAATTCCCAACTTTTCGGATACATTTCCTGGGAAATGAAAGATGCTTTATTTAATACCGGCTACTGAAATCGGCAATGCTGTAATGCCGGCCTGTGCAAAATTGACATGTATAGGAAAACCTGAGGTTAAAGGTGTATAATTTGTAGCAAGGCCATAGAGCATTGCGATTGCAAATATGTAATGCATTCTGTATACTCAGTTGGTTTGTTTCGCGTAAATAATAGATAGAACTGCTGGGAATTAATGTACATGTTTGGTGTTGAGAGATAATAATACATGTTTCACTGTTGAAACTCATAGTTGTGTTTAGACTGGAAAAAATGGAAGTGGAAGCACATAGATTTCTTACTATTTATTACTCGGGACAACATCATGTCTTAACAAAATTAATGATTCTGTTGGCACACATTTCACAGTACATGAGAAATGTAGCTGCTTTATTTACTTTTACAGATATGACTCCGATACAATGCTAATTACTAACTAGACACGTGCCAATTCATCTTATTCACACTCTGACATACAATTATTTGATGACTGACAGAACATATTAAGACAGTGCAAAATCTAAAGTTTTTTCAACCATATTATGTCACATAAATTACATTAGTGTCGTTTTTATTCGGAGACGGCACATCTAAATGATTTGTGAAAGAGTGTTGCTCTATGCCAGTAGTTCCTCCTCTTGGTCACCGATGATCTCAAGTGACTAACCATGTTTTCATGTTTATTGCAACTGGAAGTGAGTTGCATGGAACCACGTACCCCATGTTAGGCCTGGTGCAAGCACTGTCAATTGACTTGTCTTCATCGGTCACTGTGCTGCCCTCTCTGGGAGCTCGTGTAAGTCGATGTAGGACTGTATGGCCAGGTCCAGGCGTGCTTGCTGCTGCGCGTCTGTCTTTGCAAACAGCTACAACATAGCATCATACTTTCTATGTTACAAACACTAATAATGATTCCCCTGCATAGTGAGTTTAATCATTACCAGTCCACTTGACCAGTCTCTAAGCCAACTAGTGCGAAGACTATTTCTCTGTCTGTCTGTGTCTGGGTCTGTCTGTTTTTGCACATGCGTGCATGTGAGATGTGTGCCAAACGATTCATGTGCCATTTGTTCCGGAAGTGAGCAGGATGCTTATCCATGCTTTAAAGCCACAATATACGCATTTACACGCTAATTTCTCCAGTACTAGACTAGCAAATACTTTGTGTCATGCATAATCATACTACCTTATGACAAAATAAACTCTAGTTCCTCCCATTTCACTGCGCGTTGTCTTATAAAAGGCATTTGAAAATACCTCCAATGTTGTTCAAATTCTCCGATGTTGTTGACACTTTCGCGTTGCTCTGCCAAGCAACCGTACAGCGGGTGTAGCAAACATTTCTACGGCCATTGTGCCTTTTTCGCTCGCACGCTGCTAGCGCAATGACATGTTATCGTTTGCGATATCAAGCCTAAAATCAATACATTATTCTCAGAGTTTATTACACTGCCTATTATTACTTTCCCAATTGCCATTGATGTTACATACACTGCAGTTCACAATACTAAAACTATCTTAAAATGTAAACGACTGTATTCTCTGCTCAACACCCGTAGCAACATGTGACATCACCTAACCGATTCGGGGCAAAATTGCTTGGCAAACAATTCGGGGTTGGTGCCATATTACCAGATTTCGCACCTCTTTCTTGTGGGTTTTAAGCAAACGCACAGTGAAATGGGAGGAACTAGAGTTTATTTTGTCATAAGGTAGTGTGATTATGCATTTGCTAGTCTTGTACTGGAGAAATTAGCGTGTAGATGCGCATATTGTAGCTTTAAGAAGATTTCACATTCATTACCTTGAGCAGGTCCAACGGTTGGGGGTTACTGCCAAGCTCTCCTAGCTGCTTGCGAGATTCACACTCCGTGTGGCAGGTATGGTACAGCGTGACAGTATCGATGGCGTCAGATAAGCTGAAACAACAGTGCAATTATTTCAGTGGCGGATCTAGAGGGGGGGGGGGGGAGGTTCCCCCACCCAGGTTCAGCCACTGACTAATGTTATCAGGAG